GCTGTTTTTGATTTGTCGACAATGTAGGTGATCATCGGGGGATCCTTAGCTTCTCTTGTATAATTTCTCTGGGCGTTCCTGGTGTTGCCACCGACGTGGGGTCCTCCGATGATGGTATCGATTTCCCTGATGACCTGGCTTCCAGCGAATTGAGCTTGGTTCTCTTTCCTGGATTGGCCTCGGTTTCTTGATTCTCTTCTGCTAGGAGGTTGTTCCTGGTGACCCCTTCCTTCCCTCCTCGGGGAGGTGGATCTGCGGGGGTGCTCATTTATGCTGGAAGTGAGGGGGTTGCTTCGATCAGGGCGCCGGTTGACATCCCGACACTCACTGGTGTCATGCCCATATAGTTGATGGAAAGTACAAAATCTTGCTCCCGGCAAGGGCCTGTTTGGCCTCTTCTTCTTCTTGTTGTTGTTGTCAGTTCTTCCGGATGGTGCTGCCTCAATGGGTGCGCTATCATATGCCAACACCGGCACTGCGTTCAATGTGGCGGAAGCTAGGGCCTGTCCGGATGTGGGAGCTATGGTATGCCCTGCTTGGGTCCATTGCTGAGTAACAAGGTGCGCTGCGGGGCCTCGACCTACCTGCCTCTGTGGGGGAGGGAGTCCCTGCGCGGCACGGTTACGATGATCAATCATTTCTTCACTAATTATTTCCACCCTCATCATCTCCACCAGCTCGTCATACGTGGAGGGATTCTTGCTGCGTACGTCCCTCCAAAACAAAGTGTTCATGTTGAGACCACCTTTCAGGACCGAAAGGGCTTCCCTGTCAGTGACCTGTTCGCAGTAAGTAATCTCGTCTGTAAACCTGGCGAGATAGCTTTTCAGCGTCTCTCCAGGGGCCTACCTCATGTCTTGCAGGCGTTGGATCGGCGCCTCTCCTTCCCTGCGTGAGAGGTACTGGTTCAAAAATGTTTTCTTCAAATCCGGCCAACTTCTGATGCTTAGGGGAGGAAGCCTACTGTACCACACCTCGACGGCACCGCCTAGTGTTAAATGGAAGGCTCTGCACTTTAGAGCAGGTGAGGCTCCCCTAAGACTCATTTGCGTCATATACTTTGTGAGGTGCTTCTCCGGATCCCCTTTTCCCTCGTACTTGGGGATCTTTGGGGGCATGAAATTAGTTGGCATTGGGAAGCTTCGAATTTCCCTTGAGAAAGGGAGGTTATCGTCATCGTCGTCAATCTCGTAAGATCGGCAGGGCCCCTCTGATCCTTGGTCATCTTGGACGTCTTGGGATGGAGGAGGTGCTTTCCCCCGGCTCCCCCAATCGACTAAGTTTCTCCTCTCCTTCCTGTTTCTAGGAGAAGGGACATACTCCTCTTCGTTGTCTGACCGGGCCGACCCTCTTGAAGGGCGGATCCTATTGCTAGGATCGTTCCCTATCCGGTCGAATACGCTTACTGACCTCTGGTCATTATGTTGAGGAAAGTTGTCCCCCAAGGGTGGTTCTGATGGGTGGCTCTCCTGCATATAAGATGTCACTTCGGTGTTATCCTCTCTTTCGAGAGGACATTCGGTGTGCCAGCTCGTGTGGCCTCGAGAATGAGACAAAGGGATTTCCCGTACCGGATGCGATCCTTAGGGCATCTGGTGTCCCTGAGCTTGCATGAGAAGTTCCCGCATCGCCATATTCTGAGCTGCTATGTCTCTCATGCCTGCAGCTATCTGGGCCATTCCTTCGATGAGTACGGCTGTTCTTTCACCTCGTCGACGCCGGTGATGCGGTCTCTGATGAGTAACATTGTTATGAAGTACCTCCTCTTCAGAGGCCTCTCTGATGGGGTTGTCTTCACGGCTGTAGCTCATCCTCCCTCTTCTTTCAAGGATAGTAAGAACTTGGATTGTAAATCGACTTTTATTCTTTTTCAAGAATGCCTCCCTTTTCAGGGTCAATCGCTGGTTTTCCGGTGGCTTCTCCGACGGGGAATGTAGGACTTTGAATGGGGAATGACGTTTCCCATAGACGGCGCCAAACTGTTGACCTCTAAAAATGGCTCTTCCACGTGGTCAACTTGTAGCTACTCCACGTGTTCCTCCCTACGAAATGAACAAACTGTCAGGCGCACACGGCCGGAACCGACGAGGGTGGCGGCCGTATACACTCCGACGGTCAAGTCAGGTTTGGGTGGTCGGAACAGTGTCCAGGGACTACACAAATCAATCAGTCAATAAAGGGGGAGGAGAATATATAAACTTGTTATGGAGTGCTATCTATTGAGAGTTTCATTACCTTTGCCTCTGGCCAATCTTTGGGTATTTATAGGTGGTATGAACCGTGGGATGTGGAACACGTGTATACATCTGACGGTATGAAGCGTCTGTTCATAGGCGTCAATCAGCCGCGCTTGTAGAGTGGGCGGACAGTTTGTTTCCCCCGAGTTGAATTGACATAAAGTTGATCAGTCACATCAAATAGCTTTATGGGGGACGTCAAATCAATTTAAACCTTATATGAAGAGCAAATCTTAAATTGGCAGCGAATCTTCTAACGGGGGTCCACTTGAACCCGACCTTAGAGGCGGGACACTTCGGCAGATTAGTGACAGAATCAGTGTATCACTTTGGAGAAGCTTCGGGAGGTCGGAGTGATCTATTTGATTTCACCGGCTTCGGAGTGGCGGGATGACACTTCGGTTACTTCGGTACCGAGGCTCGTAAAATGAGGCGTAACATAAACAATTATGTAAACATAGCACTTCCCGCTGATATAATAGATGAGATTCAGGTTTTACATATGAGCCATCAGTTTAAATGTATTTTTCAATATCCAAGTTCGGTAGAAACATTGGATTTTACATATCACAGTAACAAGAAAAATATTTGTACTGTACAGAGTTATCCAAAAACGAAGTCGAAAAATGTCACTAACAACTTGCTAGTATTAAAGTTAGCAATAATGCTGTTTGAACCAATTCATGCTTAATTTGGATATACCACCAAGAACAGATATTAGCAGGCACCAAAACCTAAATGCGGCACAATCTGACAACTATTCTGTTCAAAGTTTAGTTAATTTTCGATCTGAATTCTTTTCTGCCAGCATCAACCCATCGAACAAGACCAAATTCTTGGATTACACATTGTATCTGACAAGAACCACACCCTTTCCATGTTCTTGTGGGCTAATAGTGCAGGTGCTTATCAGGAAATTTGCTTTCATCTTTTGTGGACTTCTAGAAATCCACTCTATGTAGTTTGCAACAAAACTTGGTTTATGGTTAAAAGATAACAGCCAGGAGAAACTTGATTAAAAACACTTCTTGTTTTAGGGGTGTTAATCAGGTCTCTAATCCAAGCGTCAGGGTGGTCATTGTTGGCTTGACATCATAAAAGAGCAATAAAATGGTTCAGAAACTGTTCATACTTGGAGCTAAGTCATATCAAACTATTGTCGAGCCTAATTCAAACCAAACTTAAACCTGGCAAGGTTGACTTACATTTCAGTTGACAGTTTACAACTAAAACAAGCCGCATTCAACCTTTCCCAAAATGTTTTACAAACTGAAAAGTATGCATTCAAGACACTGTCTCTCACGTGGCAAGACAATTTTCAACAAGATGTAGAGAAAGTGAGCACAAACTGATCACAAGCCCAATAAGCTTATATATAATAACATACACTGATAATGTAAATTGAATTGGTGTTGCTCTCTTAATTTCCCATCAATTTACCTACATGGCTTCATCTGAACATATTTACAACTATATCTCAACATAGGACACAATTCCTAACAAATTGGTTTTCGTTTTCATTATTAAAGAAAAGGAAAGCATTGGTCATCCGCATAAATTGTGTTAGCAAGTCTTCTATACTGATTGAGTGCCCTTACTGCAGTTTCAACTATATATTGAATTTAACTTCATCAAAGTAGCATCACCAACCGGCAATCATTTATATCAGATTCTTCCCAATTTTGCCCCCATTTCACAGCAGACAGCAGATATAGTCAGCCCCATTTTACACATGCAAGCTACAATAGCATTGCTGTCTCTTTTCTCTCAACACTGTCAGCTGATTCACTTCATATCTACTTTAGAGGAAGCGCAAGATTTGCTTCTTAATCATCTTCTTAAAACCTCACCTCTCACCCAAAAAGAAAAAAAAGAAAAAGAAAAAAAGGGACCGAAATCAACACAATAAAGCTTCTTCTCATGCTTGTTTGAGTCAGTGACATGGACCACTTCTACGACTCAGTCAGGTTCTAACCTCTTCAATTATCAAGATCCACTCAGTTTTTTGGACATCCTCTCCTCTAAATTCACCACTATGGGTCTGTTGTTTCTCCCAATTAGTGCATCAAACAGCCTCAATGACTGTGTCCAAACCATATTAGTCAGTTCTCTCATAGTTATCATCAAACAGTAGCCAGTTACAACCCGTGTTTGTAAAAGCAACTCATATTCAAATATCCCAGTGATAATTTTAACAAGCATGTTTAAGTGGGTTAGGCACCCCATCAGTCAACTACCTATAGCAACCAAACCAAATATATATAATTTTGATCTACAAAGGATTGTGAGCGAAATTCAAGATATCACTAGTTTCACATGCTCCTAGGATCATTCAGTACTCCCATTGTTGTTCCAGCCATTCATCAACAATAAGAGCTAGAATTACATTCTAGCTATTTTCGGGCCCAACCTAAGCAAAGGTAAGAAAAGAAAACAAACCAGTAGAAACACACAAATGATATGCTAACAATCAGGATATCTAGGTAGGCATCAAATCCAGCTAAATAAATGTCCTAGAAAAAGAAGCTAAGTTAGTAAAAATTAATGCGGTCGCTATAAAGATATGAAAGTTTGTAAGGGTAAGGAAGAGCATAAAGATGGGATGGTTAACTCAGGTTCCTTCATTTTACATGCATGTTAATTCCTCACTTTGCTAGTTGGGCCCAAATAATGCATGCTTTTCATACATGTTTGAGCCACCACCATTAAGTGCATCACACATCTTTAATGACAGATATATAACTCTTGTAGTACAACCATAAAAAAAGGAGTAATATATGCAACATGCACATTTCCTCTTCTATCGACTGGTACAAACAGCAGTCTTAACCTAATACTCCCTCTATCCCAAATAGACAGTCTGAGCTTCAATTTTTATCTATTCCAGTAGATCTTAGTTATATAAATATATCCGAGAAGAAAAGTAACAGGGCGGAGAATCATGCGCTATAACCTCTTCCATTTTTCTATATCAATTAGCTAGCTTCCTGGGTCTAACACTGATATATATAAATTAGTAGAGATCATGTTTCTCTTATGTCTTAAAATTCGAACAGTTCGAGCCTATAATTAATCTCTATAGACAAAAGTTCTAAAGTTTAATTGATTATTCGACTTCCAATTTGTTGTAATTTACAAATTACAGGGGACACCAGAACCGAAGTAGAGTCAGCAAATGATTCAACATGGTATTTCTAAGCTATCTCAAATTTGACATTATTCATTTATGCAGAGAAGTGCAGAGCTTTTATTTAAACATAAAAAATCATAACATGTGTTGTACTTTATCTCTTATACTCTTATAGCAGTATGCTTAAATGAGATGAACAAGAGTACAAAATATATAGCTGCGAATGACCACTAACTAGACCTGAATCACTGACAAGCAGTGTTAACAATTGGAATGCCTGTCAAGTAACCCAAATAAGTTTCAAAAACAGAGAAGTTGGTTATGCAACCATTTCATGTCCGTTCAGCCATATATTAAAGAATAGTGAAGAGAGACGATCAAGCACCAAGCATTGACAAGACAAGGAAATTCGAAATTTAAAAGAGAAAAAAAATTATAATCTTACACAGGTATTTAACCATGTGACATCAACCAATTCCATCTAAAATACTCAAGGTAATAGATACATATGATACATTCATATGAGCAGTTAAAAACTAAGATAAATGAAAAAGACAATCATTTTCACAAAAATCCAAGCCGATGACAGGTTTAGAAGCCATACACCTACTGTTATAATTACTTGGAAACCAAAAGGATCTCGGGCTTCTTAGCCTTACTTGGCGTATTTGCATTGGACCCAGGGGCACTGGCTGTTGTTGCTGCTGCAGCCTTCACCGCCTCGCGCTCCCTATTGTCAAGCTGAATTAGACTCCTAGTCGCCAAAATTGCCTGCTGAACCAAATCATGTGAAGCTCTAGCATACAGACGCCGCAGTGCCACAGAAGCTGCATCTTTCACTTCCTCTACATTCAGAGGCCCCAATAAACAGTGGCCCAAAATTCTTAAAATTGGCTGCAGCAACTCCCATGGCAGCGGAATTCTAGCATCCAGACTTGCATCCTTGGAATTATCATTCTCAATATCCAAATTCTTGACTCTTCCAGTCACGTTTTCAATCTCACTGAACTTGACCCTCTGATCTTCCTCAAATCCATCCTCATTCTTGAACCCATGATTATTTTCCACAAAAATTTCAGGTTTTTTGTCAAAATCTGACGTACAAGGGCAATCCTGACCGGCCCAGACAGCCGTGAATTTACAGAAATCAAGCTTAGACCAACTGGGCATCTGCGAGATCTGCTTATAATAACAATCCAGAGCAACCCCAACAATGCAGGCGCGCTTAGTTGATTTAACCGCAATTTGTGGTTCTAAAGGAGGCGATAAAACCCCAACCAAAGGCTTATTAACTTGAGAACCGGCAGAATTAGGGTTTGATTTAATGGGATTCCGAGGGGAGTGATAGAGTGAAGGCTGAGACAGATCCGGGATAGAAATGGTTATGGGTTTGCCATTGCGGGCTTTAGTTTCAGAGGAATAGAGGGCCAAAAGCACTGCTTCAAAACCGGCCAGAGAGACGGAGGCCGAAGAAGAGGCGTGGTGGATGCGGTGAAGATAGAGGGAAGTAAGAAGGGGGAGAAAGGATAAAACGACAAGACGGAGGTCCGGATCGGAAGAGAGAAAAGTTTCATAAAGCCACTGGCAGAGTGGGTCATCGCCGGAGCCGGATGAGGGGGAGGAAAGGGCAGAGGAAAATAAGAAGTAAGCTGCAGAGGAGAGGAGAAGGGAGCGGGCAGGTCGATCGGTGTCGGCGAGAGATGAGAGGGAGAGAGAAGACTCCTCATCAACGGGCAGGAGAGAGGATAGGATGTGGATGCGAGTACGGGCTTTCGAAATTGATTCCCACCAGGAGTGCATGGGGTCGGAGGTGGGAGAAGGGGAGGAGAAGGGATGGCCATTTTGGTGGTGCGGGGTGGAAGAGTTAGGGTGGTGGTGGTGGTCAGAGGAGGAAGCGGAGGAGGAAGGAGAACCACGGCGGACGTTGAAATCCATGGCGGCGGAACGGCCGAGAGAGGAGATCAATAAAGGCTCCTCGTCTCTCCTCCGTTGTGGTGAATTATGTAATTTGCTTTAATTTTTATTCATGTCCCACACTAAAATATACACATATATGCATATAATAAGATAAATATTTTTATGTTTATAAATATAGAATCAAGCATAGGCGGCTAGTAAATTTAAAGACATGCAACTAACTCAAAAGTAACTAATTTATGACTAAAACCAAACATGTGGAAGGAGCCTATAGTTTAAAATTGCTGCTTTTATCTCAAAACCTTTTTTTGACATTTCTTGTTACAAATTTTGAGGAGTAACTCAGTGATTAGATCTTAAATTTGTTTTTAAATTTCAATGGTCACTAGTCAGGATTTCGTGGGATTAGTTGAGGTGCACGTAAATTGGTCCGGACATCTACGATCATTAAAATAAAAAAAAGGACGTTTCATATTACAATTTTTAGCATTTCACTTCGATCACCTTGTGCAATGAATGATTTTTAAACTTATTGCTTGTTAATCAAACACAAGAGTACTTATTAAATATTAACGTCTCACATGTAAAGTTTTACATTAATATCCTAAATAATACGTAAGAAATCACTAAATTACGAGAGAAACATTAAGAAATGGAGTACCATGCTTACCTAGGCTCAAAAATAAAAAAATTTCCTTTCATGTGAACTTCAATAATCGAAGATATTGATATGTTGGTTTTTGATTCATAACTAAAAAAACTAATAATTTTAACATTAACGAAACTTTATTTTCCTTGTTTCAAATAAAAAATGGACTCTTGAGGCGGGAATAGAAATATAATTATGAAATTTGTTATACGACCATAATACACAAGAATATTTTTAATTGGTATAATATTTTTTGTTTCCTAAATTAGAAGATTATGTTTCCAATATATTGTTGAATTCGAAGAGCAATTTTGTCTCAACTATAATGTAACGGGCTATTATAATTGCATAGTCAATTTGTTCAACATTTAATAAATATTCAATAGACGGATTTTAATCCACTGTTTTTATACTTTTATTAATTATAATTGCTGAGCTATTTACTAGGCTTAAATACTTTTTGGAGCATGTCTTGGGTAAACTTAAATCATCAATGTCGTATGTAAACTTAAACTATCAAGAAAAGTGAGTTCTAAATTGTTGGGAGAGATGTTACTTGACTATGGTCGATAATCCCTGTTTTTTCAATTATTTGTAAGGTAAGCTTAAGAAATTCTAACATTTGAAAAATTAAAAATTTGAAGAATCATCTTTTCCACTTCTTAAACGATATGTTCAAAAAAAATTCAGTTGAAAAAATAATTGGACAAAAGTAATTATGGGGTTGTTTGGGAGTAATTTTTCACCCCAAAAAATTAATTTTTTGATCGTTATTCAACTATTTCAGTCATAAAGTTTAACTTCTTCTCTCACAGGTGACCCCCTACTTTTCTCTTAACGGCCAAAATCAATTCTCGGCCTATATTAACACCACATTAATTCCATCACATTTCAATTGCAATGAACGTTCATAATTTTGCACTTATGTCCTCGACTTTCTTTTGTAGTATTTTTACCATTAACCTTTAATTTCACTTATGATAATTTATGTCCAAATATTTTGTAAACGTACATTAAAATGGGGGACAGGTATTTTTTTCAAACTCTAGTATTTGTTATTTATTTTAATTAGTTAAAAATTCAAGAAGCAAAAATGCCTTTTTACGCCCTCTGTGAACTTTGAACAAAAATCGTCATCACGCGTAAGATATGTAAATTGATAAAAAGTTGAAAAATAAGAATGTAATGAACAAATTGGGGAATAATGAACAAAAACTTGTCGTGGAATTGTCGTTTCTAACTGCTGCCATTACTCTTTGTCGTTCAACCGCCTTCAACTGGGTTCCTTGAATCGTGAAATGTGATAAGATTACTCAATAACTGCTTTAATAACTGTTATTCTAAACAACCATAATATTTTATATTTGCTAAAATTTTGGGCGATTTGAAGGTTTGGGCGAGAACGTGGTCATCGCTCTGGGTGACCGTAAGGCACTCCATTCGCTCAAATTCTGGGCGTCTTGCAAGTTTGGGCGATGATGTCACTGTGTTCGTGGGCTTCCACTGCATTTATCAATAATCCTGTTTGGACATTTATCCTGGACTCCCCAATTGGGCTTCACTCTTTGGGCTATTTGATTTGGGCTGCACTTTTAGCGTGTCAACAGACATACTGACATCTGATAAAATGTTATTATCCATAATTTAAATTAATAGGCCATAGTCATATACGACATAATTTACGTGTCACACTCACATCTAAATTACAAGGTTATGGTCACATAATAAATAATTTATGAATTGCAATAACCTATTAAGTCCCAAAACACACAATTAACAAGTCACAAATCACTTATTAATCATAAATTACACAATTAACTGGCCACACTCACTATTCTTATCATCCCACCTCATTGCTATTGGACTATCATATCTACAGCCTCTGGCACTCCCCATCCCTCATCTCCAGACCTATAGCCGTCAGACCACCTCATATATGTAGCATCACAATCAAGCAACCTCCAAATTTATAGCTGCCATTCCTACACCACCAAGCCGAAGCTAGTGGATAACACTTACGGTGTTGTTACCATCTTCAGAGCGAGATATGATAGAGACTGGAATGAAGCATGATTTGAGGTACTCCCCATTTGGGATTCATTAAAATATATTTTGGAGGGAAAATATATTTTGAAATAACAATTTTTTTAAAATTATGTGATGAAAAAAAAAATTGGACTTACATGTGATATTATTTCATTGAAAATTTTGTCATTGTAAAGAAAAGAGGAAATGTGTATTTTGGATAGGCCCCGAACAAGGACGTAATTTCCACATTAACAACTAATCTAGAGATGGCAACGGTTCGATTCAGCTAAAACCATCACCGAACCACCAATTTTTTGACCATACCATAACCGCACCATAACCGTGAAAGTCGGTTCAGTTCGTATCTCGGTTTGGATCGTTAATAACCACAAAAATAAATTATTTTTGATTGATCCATCCATCGAATAAAAAGAAAAATGTATGAAAAAAGTCAATGAAAACAAAAACATGATACTAAGTCAATTTAGCAAACATCTCAAATGAAAATGCAAAAAATATCTCAATTCTCAAATACAAAATTCAAATTTAACAAACAATATTCAATAACTCTAAAAGCTCCAACCTCAATTCATATTCAATCTTCATTATTCCCCACAACTATTACAAGCATACGTCAAAACTCAAAGTTGATTTCTATATAGTATATAAGAAATGTAAGTAGAGTAATAAATTAATAATCCATAATGTTCTTAACTGAAGATTTAAACAAAAAAATGTACCTCTTCGTCAACATCCTCGTCGCCAAACTTTCTTTTTTGTAATAAAAGAATTCAATTTCTTGTTTATGTATTGTTTAGGACAAAAGTCATCAAAGAGGAGAGAAATTAAAGTCATTTATCTCTAAAGCGGCCACCAATTGTAAAAAACTGAAAATTCTGGATATACTTTGGCCATCTTGTACGAAATTCACAACAAACTCAAATAGACAAATACAAATTATCAAAAAAGAAGATGAGAAGCTCACCAATGACAGAAGCCTGAAGGTCGAAGGAGAAGAAAATAATGCAAACGGGCGGAGGTGGAAGAGATAACAATCGGCACTCGGCAGACCCAGAAGGTAGGAGTTGAGATTCCAATTTTCCAATAAAATGTTTATGTCTTTGTGTTAGACTGTTAGGGTTCATGGTTGGGTACTTGGGTTTAAATTTAATTTGTTAATGAGCCAGAAATTTTGAGCCAAAGAAATTAAGTAGTAGTTGAGATTCCAATTTTCCAATAAAATGTTTATGTCTTTGTGTTAGACTGTTAGGGTTCATGGTTGGGTACTTGGGTTTAAATTTAATTTGTTAATGAGTCAGAAATTTTGAGCCAAAGAAATTAAGTAGTTAACATAGAAAAAAATCAAAAAATTATGGATAGCCCAATTATTATTAATTTATTATTTTTTCTGACGGTTAATCTGTTCGATTCTGGGCGATGGCGTAAATACCATACACGCCCCACCCTGAACTGGTTCATTAAAATCAAATACCATATCCACCCCATTGCACCATCGGTTCGATTTTTTTCGCCCCATTTAATTTGATTATTTTTGATTTTCGATTTTAACAATTTGAATTGCCATCCCTGCTGATCCAATTAATTCGGGACATTTTCTGTTTAACATTCCATCTCCACGTGTCAACTCTTCTAGCTAACACGGCGTCGTCCTGCAAACCATATGGCCCAAGAGTTCACCGCGTAGAAATTAGGCTGCGCTGCCATCCTTTTTAATCAGACTATACGCCTCTTTTTCTCTTTTCTCCGGTAATTAATTCCTTATTTGTTTGGGTGACTCGAAAAAAATATGGAGCAAGCAAAATTGGCGACAAATCTGGGACGTCTATTCTCATCAACACTCGTCAAATCCGAGTTCTTCAACTCGACGAGTCGCCGAGTTATCTGCACCACATCTCAGCTTTTGCAAATCCACCAGCAACAGAAAAAAGAGCCCTCGGTTTCCGAGATCAACGAGAAGGCTCAGAATCAAATCGAAGATGAGAAGAAATTCGATTCAAAAGAAGAGGACGAGGACGAGGACGAGGACGACGGTTACAGAAACAAAGTCACCGGTGAACTAGGAGGTCCCCGTGGACCGGAGCCGACGCGCTACGGCGATTGGGAAAAGAACGGTCGGTGCTCTGATTTTTGAATTGAATTTTCAGAAATTTCTCCCAATAATGGCGTTTTTTATTTTGTTTTTCCTTTTTCTCTGTAATTTTCTGTTAAATTAGATTAGAATTTAATAAAAGGAATGTACCAACAAATTTAATAGTAATTTAGATAGATTGATTTGCATGCTTAATAGTTATATTTTATGTTAAACTACTTGCAATACTGCGTAATCTGCCCTTAATTCCTCAAATTTGTTACCATTAAATAGGATGAAAGGCAAACTAAAATAAATAATGGAGTTATTTAGATTTTCGGACATTATTTTCTTTCTTTAGAATTTTATCTGGAGAATCGATCCCAAGTCTTTGACCTGGTATTGATTGTTAGGGATTTGTTATGTTTCATTTCCTAGAGATTTATTTAAAAGTAAAAATGCCATTGAAAATAAACTAATGGTTGGCCTTTTTTTCCCTTAAATTTTTTTTTTAACTCATTTTCAATTCTATTGATTTTATAATCACAAATTTCATCAATTTTTATTGAAATCTACTAGTTTTTTATTTTCTTATTTTATCAAAATCAAATATGGGCTAATCTAGAGGTGACATTAAAATCGAAATTGAACTTGAACAAGAGGTATCTGTTCAATTCCAAATAAATAAAATAAAAATTAGGAAATGGGAATCGAGAACCAAAAATCGGCCTTCTCCTAGATAGTTCTTGGTTCTTGAACGAAACTGTGGGTTCCTAACGTTCATGTCTTGTTTCAGGGAAAAAAGAAAAAGAAAAAAAAGGAAAATTAGAAATCGAAACGATAACCAAGAACCCATCGAGTCCTAGATAGTTTTTAATTCTTGAACAGAATCGTGAATATTTGGTCTAGAATCAAATTTATCCATTTTTTTAAAATTTTATTTTTTTTATAATTTATTCATTCTGACTCAATGATCCAATAGGATGGAAAAGAAATGATGAGATGCAGACAAAATTCGATAAGTTGATTGTTATGTTTTTAAATAAATGAATTTGTGTTATTTATAATACTTGTAGAATCTAATACTTTTTTATTGTAGGTTTATAGTTTCTGGTTTGTCGAGGATATGTAATTAATATTTATGATTTTTAGATATTTGATAACATATTTTGTTGTTGTTTGATGACATATATATTTGCAGTGAATTAAGAAAGTGCTGAATATGTATTTGATGTCAAATTTTATTTCTTCTATTTCTACTAAATATTAGAAAATAATTGTATGGTCAATTTACTATTTTTTTTTAAAAATATTATAGATAAAATCGCACGCTAACCGAAATAGACAATACGAATTTGGGTTGGTTCCGGTAATTATGAGGAGTCGAATAGTTCCAGTTACAAAATATTCAAAATGTAATTTGGTGATTTTTAGATATACAAATATTGAAATCGATCCACTCGATGCTCAAACTTACATGGACGACGTCGTTGCTCATGACTAAACCCACCATCGATTTTTAAATAATTTCGATTTGAGAATTTTAAATAGTAATCAATGCATTTATAGCCCTGTTTGGTTTAAGAAAATTAACTTTTAGTAAATTTCAATAAAAGTTGATGGTGGCTTAAAATTGTGAATTTTATGAAATGTGTGATTAAAAATTAATTATCGGCATTTTATTTGAACCGAACATGGACACAATTTATTATAGTTCTCACAAAACATTAAAATAAGACGGGATTCGTATAATAAAATGATTTATTACTAATTTTAACTACATTAGTCTACTAATCCATAAAGAAAGAAGATGGCATTAAAGTCCCGTTTGATTTAAATAAATATTAGATTTTTAGTGAATCTATCTACAATATATTAAAAGTGTGGATTGAAGAGAAACTTTTGAATACCAATTTTACCCTTACTTATTTAACTATATGCCAATTCTACCCTTATATAATTAATATAGTACCATTTAATATCAATTTAAGTGTAATACTATTAATAAAATTAAAAAATCCCTTATATTTTTAGCTATATGTCAATTCTACCCTTGTATATTTAATATAATTTAACTTCATTTAATATCCATTTAAATGTAACAATCCTGCTACATGGTTAGGGAGTTGGTGACAGACAATGGCCAGGCTGACGTGGCCATTGGGTAGGGGAAAAACAAGAAAAATACAAAGGAAAAACGGGTGAAGGCAACCGGTTGAACCCATAGTCTCTCATATTTCCCTACGAAGAGAGAGAATACCCAAGGGAAAAGATTTGAAACACTTCGTCGTCCAATCAAGGCGATACCCGTCGTACGACTCACCATCTCTGACGGCCGTCTGAAATCACAAGCATTCTTTGACAA